TTCTCTAAGAACCCGAATTATAGGTTCAATGTCCTTTATTTATGGCTAGAAACCAAATATGAGTGAGAACATCCCATGTTCCTCTTTTTGGGTCTGGCTTACCTCACTCAGGATGGTGTTTTCTATTTCCATCCATTTGCCTGCAAACTTCAAGAAGTCCTTGTTTTTACTGCTGAGTAGTACTCTCATATGTATATTATTCTTTGTAAGTATTTGCTTTTCATTGATGGCTGAGATACTGAACACTTTTTCTTAAGTTTATCGGCCATTTATATTTCTTTTGAGAACTCTCTCGTCAATTCATTTGCCTATTTGTTCGTTGGATAATTTGTTCTTTTGATAACAAATTCGATGAGTTCTGTATTTTGGATAATAATTCCCTGTCAGCTGAGTAGCTGACAGGTTTTCTAGCATTCTGGAATGCTCTCTCTCCATTCTCTACTGCCTTTGCTGTGCAGAGACGTGGTCTGCTGCTGTCTCATTGTCGGTCCTTGCCATTGTGTCCCAGGCTATTCAAAGGGTCACTTACTATCCCATATCTTGACGTGTTTCCCCTGTAGAAGATTCAGCTACATTACATGTTTGATCCATTTTAAGTTGGTTTTTGTGTAGCATGGAGGATAGAGGCTTAGTTTATCCTGTAACAGATTCCCAACTTCTATCACTGCCTTTCCTCTGATGTACATTAGTAAGCACCTCTGTCAAGAATGAATTATTTCAGGGTCCTCTGTTTTCTCACTGGTTTACATGTGTTACCATCAAGACATACTTATCTTAATATCCAGTTTGAAGCTTTATTATTTAAATGTGTAGGGATCTGCTTTGTTGACTGCTATTTCTGTTTGCTCTAGATGATCTAGTTTATATTCTAGTATAACTGATTTTTAATTGAATACCAGATATTGCATATGAAAAATTATAGAGAATTTAAGGTCTAACATGATGTTACCTTTACTCATAGAGAAGTTATTTCCTCATCACAGAGGTGCAAAATAATTGAAAAGTCCATATTGTCTTACTACCAATGAGAATTGAGAAGCTCTCTAATTTAGGTCACTTTGCTAATCTACTAGAGATCAGTTCACACTGCTGGTCTACTTGAGGTCAGTTTTACCAGGGTTGATCTTGCCTTAACAGTAGCTTCTCCTCAGCTCTCATTTTGTTATCCCTGAACTTCAGTGATTTTTCCATGGATAATTTCCCCTTTGTGTCATCTTCCTCTTGAGGACTGACCAATCCTTACAGGGACAGAGACAATTCTCGAAGAAAGTTATACCTCTGTGGATTTTCAATGTGTCTTACAATCATTACCCTATGGTTCCTTATTCTCTTAGCTGTTGTCAATGATTTTAGATAGGTGTTTGTGTTTAAAACAGAATCGATTGTTCCCTAGTTCATTATGTGTTAACAAGTTATTGAGACATTTTTTATACTGAATTATCGTTAAAACATTATTTAAAACTCTGCAGTACCTTTGGAGATCATCAGACATGTTTTACTTGTATGTAGTTTCTTAGCATGGAGTTGGATCTATCTTCTTGATGGAAGGGTTCAAGACATGAAATGATGACAGCTAACATAGATGCAGGTGTTGCCATGGAACTGTGTTTGGAAAGGTGACTGTCAGGCAAGTTTCTGGAGTTCAGTATTATTTTGTCCATCTATCTCTTGTAAAGGCAGGAAGGAAACGATAGCTCATGTGTAAGTAGCTACACCTACAACATTTACATTTCCTGAATTTACTTACATTTCTTTGCTTTTCTGAAGTTATGTAATCTCACTTAACTTTTTAAAATCTTTTCTCTTTTTTTTGAGTTTGTTTTTTTTAAATATAATTTTTTTATTGAGAATAGGAAAAAAAAGTTTCCGCCTCCTCCCAGCCTCCCATTTCCCTCCCCCTCCCCCCACTCCTCTCCCCCTCCCTCTCCAATCCAAAGAGCAGTCATGGTTCCCTGCCCTGTGGAAAGTCCAAGGTCCTCCCCCCTCCGTCCATGTCTAGGAAGGTGAACATCCAAACTGGCTAGGCTCCCACCAAGCCAGAACATGAAGTAGGATCAAAACCCCTTGCCATTGACCTTGGCTTCTCATCAGTCCTCATTGTTCGCCATGATCAGAGAGTCCGGTTTTATCCCATGCTGTTTCAGTCACAGTCCAGCTGGCTTTGGTGAGCTCCCAATAGATCAGCCCCACTGTCTCAGTGGGTGGGTGCACCCCCCGTGGTCCTGACATCCTTGCTCGTGTTCTCCCTCCATCTGCTTCTCATTGGGACCTTGGGAGCTCAGTCCAGTGCTCCAGTGTGGGTCTCTGTCTCTATCTCCATCCATCACCAGATGAAGGTTCTATGGTGATATGAAAGATATTCGTCAGTAATGCTATAGGATAGGGTCAGTTCAGGTTCCCTATCCTCAGCTTCCCAAGGGACTAACTGGGGACATCGCCTTGGGCTCCTGGGAGCCACTCTAGGTTCAAGTCTCTTGCCAACACTAAGGTGGCTCTTTTAACTAAGATATGTGCTTCCCTGCTCCCCTATCCAACCTTCCTTTATCCCAATCTTCCTGTTTCCTCAAGTTCCCCCAATCCTCCCCTTCTTACTTTTCTCTCCCTGTCCCTCCTTATCCCCAACCCACCCCACCCCCAAGATCCCAATTTTGTCCCCGGCAATTTTATCTACTTCCCTTAGCCAAGAGGATAACTATATGTTTTTTCTTGGGTTCACCTTCTTCTTTAGCTTCTTTAGGTTCACCAGGTATACACTCCGTGACCTTTATTTATGGCTAGAAACCAATTATGAGTGAATACATCCCATGTTCATCTTTTTGGGTCTGGGTTACCTCGCTCAGGATAGTGTTTTCTATTTCCATCCATTTGCATGCAAAATTCGAGAAGTCATTGTTTTTTACCGCAGCATAATACTCTAATGTGTATATATTCCACACTTTCTTCATCCATTCTTCCATTGAAGGGCATCTAGGTTGTTTCCAGGTTCTGGCTATTACAAATAATGCTGCTATGAACATAGTTGAACAAATGCTTTTGTCATATGATAGGGCATCTCTTGGGTATATTCCCAAGAGTGGTATTGCTGGGTCCAGGGGTAGGTTGATCCCGAATTTCCTGAGAAACCGAAACACTGATTTCCAAAGTGGTTGCACAAGATTGCATTCCCATCAGCAATGGATGAGGGTACCCCTTCCTCCACAGCCTCTCCAGCTCATTCACAGCAAAATCTTTTCTCTTAATAGGAGAGTATTTCCCGGATCCACTGATGAGTAAGGCCTTAATTGACTTAGACATGCTTTTTCAGATGATGCACTAACTCAGGATTTTTATGTAGATATCAGAAATAGTTCTTGTTCATCTTTTCAGAGTCAAGAAATGATACCTGTTGGTTGGCATTTGACTCTTTTTCTCCATTTTTTTTCTTACTTACTAACCAAAAAGTTTTCAACTAAAGTTATCAAGGATTCCATGCACTTCCAAGATAGGGATAACATTAACCCAAGGACTCAATTCTTTTCTGTCTTCACTGCTTACAGACAGGGAACACAGTCTCTTCAGCCTGGACCTGTGTAGAAGAATTTGGAGAAAATAAGCAGGTAAGAAAACATCTCTTAGGAATATTGTGGTATATTTCATTCCCAGAAAAAGTTTTCAGCTAATCCTCTCTTGACCATGAGGAAATGCCTAGAATTGTCTGATAAAACCCTGTGTGGTATTTTGTTTATAATAGTTTTACTAGCTAAAGACTCATTAAGGAAAAATTAAAAGTTAAATGAGTTTCCATATTTTATATATTTCCAATCTTTGAACCTGACCATGTTCTGATATCTAAATTGAACCGCCAAGATTGTAAATAGTAGTTTAAATCAGATGTAGTTGAGGCTGGGAGGAGGCGGAAACTTTTTTTTTCTTATTCTCAATAAAAAAAATTTATAGTAAAAAAAAAAAAGAGTAAATGGTGCATTTCACTTATGTAGTGTTTCTCAAGCTAAGCTGAGAATGCGACATTTTCTACATTATTACAAGAATATTTTGACTCTAAATTATTTTTATAAAAGTTGTTTGTTGTTTCCTCACCAGAGCACAATAAAGAGACTGTTTGTGGGGAGTTTGAAGGCAAAGTTTATGATTTGCCAGGAACCCTTTTATACATGTGAAGGGATCAGCCCGTGTAATAATTCTGTGTTCTGAGGAGGTTACTTCATCAGTGTCTGCCTTAATTCAGCATTATCAAAGGGAGCAGTGAGAGAGCTTCAGCACTTTTAGAAGGCTTCTGTTGTTCCTGATCTTGTTTGGTCTTTTTTGGCGTGTACTAAGCTAAGTGCTAGCCTTATTAATGTCTATGAGAAATATGTTTATTATTCTTGACACTTAAATCTTAGGCCTTAAATTTATCCTTACAGATTTTAGCAAAACTAGCTGCAGGTCTTAACTCTTACATAAATTTCAAGCTCACAGTGCTATTTTAGAGCCACCTTCTTTTAACCTCATGAGTTTAAAGCTTGACTTAGAGTGATTGTGAGGACTGGCAAAACTGAAACCCGTGAAGAGTTGTGTCTTTAAATCTAAGCCTTTCTCTTGAGTCTGGCCCGGATATATCTAGTGAGCTACAGCGTGGGACCTGTTCTGAACCCTAGACTTACAGTTCCCGTCATGGTTCTTTCCCTGAAGGCTGTGTCCAGACAGCTTAGAAATTAGAATTAGAAGGAGTTTGTCTCTGAATGGTCTGCTAAGGAGCCAGGATGGTACTGAACTAACTCTTCTGCATCTGTGTGGCAGCTGTGTAGCTTGTCTTTTGTGGGGCCCCTAGCCGTCGGACCTGTCCCTAGTGCATAAGCTGGCTTATTGGAACCTATTCCCTGTGGTGGGATGTCTTGTTCAGCCTTGGTGCAGTGCGGAGAAGCTTGGTTGTGCTTCAACTTGATTTGCTGATTCCCATCAGCAAAGCAAATAAGAGGCCTTCCTTACTCCATCTGAATGGAGACAGAGAAGGAGCAGATGGGGGTGTAAAAGGGAGGTCAGGGAATGGGAGGAGAGAAAGGAGGGGAAACTGGTTGGTACGTAAAATAAAAAAAATGGTGAATAATGAAAAAAAGAGTCTGTCATGATCTCAGTACATAGGAGAAACTAGCAGTAGAAGGAATCTGTCATTATGATCTCTTAGTACATAGGGAGCAGTTGGCATCTCACAGTGTGGTTTGTTTGGGCTTCTTGCTTCTTCAAAAGGAAAGCAGCTGGAGTAACTTCAGCGTCGTGGGCACTGTCTTTACATCTGCTTTTCCTTTACCATTTGCCTACGTGCTGAATTTTTGTCTCTAGAGGGGTTTATTGTTGTTCATGTTTTCTTGTTATTTTCAAGTACTGGGGAAGTAAAGGCAAAGGGATTAGAATCAAGCTCATCCCTGGTACAAGTTTAAGGATAACCTGGGATACGTAAGTCACGAGGTCGGGGCAGGAACGGGAGAGAGAGCTATGTTAGAACATTCTCATGATCGATCTCCCACAAATACAATTGAAATTACAAAGTTTTAGCACATAAGGAAATGTGAGAGAGCTGCATGCACTGAGAAGAGAAGCTGTGGAAATGCAGAGGTGCAGGCCACACCCAGGCTGCTCGACTTGATTGGCCCTTGTGCTCCTGCCCTGTCGGAATGGAGGCCTTTGGAGGCTTTTGGAGATGGTTGCTTTCAAATGTCCTGCTTAAGGTTTCTTAAAAACTTGGAAACAATACCTTCCTATGAATCAGGAGATCTGAAAATTCGAGCTTGTTCTGTACCCATACCTGTGGACCTATGGATCTGCCTTAACCTAAATCAGCTGTCTTTGTCATTCATATGAATTGGGGTCATTTGAATTAACAACTCGTAAAGTTTCAGTCCATTCTCTATTTTCAATTTCGAATTAGATAGTAAAAAGTTTATTAGTAATAATAGTCAAAAGACCAAACCAATATTGATGAGCAAGAGGCTTAACATATCTGAAGAAAGATATTTACATAGATAATGTACACATTATTAGTTATAAAGGAATATAAATTAAAACCACAGTGGAATACATATGTACTGGTGAAGCTATAGTTAAGAATACTAGATCAGGTTTTGTGGTGCCTACCTGTTTTCACATTATCTAGGAGGAAAAAATAGGAGAATCAGTGCAAATTTGAGACCAAACTTTTCTCAAAGGTGAATTCCAGGCCAGCCAGAGTAAGATGTAGTATGCAACAACCTCCACCCCACCCCCATGTGTGCGCGTGTGCGCATGTGCTGTTGTGGAAGATGTGATGTGACCAACTGGCAGTTTCGTATTTTACTGTTTGAATACTCTAGAGCATAATATCTCTACCCCATGCCTTAGCAGCCCTATTCCTAGGTATTTACCTCAAAAGAAAAAAAAATCATGAAAAGGTTTATGTAAGAATGAGCATAGAGCATATCTGTAAGAGATTGGTATTAGGAGAGTTACATGTTCATCAACAGATGACTGCATAAAATACTTAACAATAAAATGGAAGAAATTGCTGAAATAGAGAACTTGAATCTTAGAAATTGTATTAAATAAAGAAGCTAAATAACAAATATTTTAAAAATAACAAAATCCAAAACCAGATGAATGAACCCATGGTAGTAGAGTTAGGAAGTGACTGCAGACTGGGAAGAGACACTAAGCTTATGTAACCATCAAATCCGATACATGAGCGCAGTGTGTCTTACTGTTTGCAAATTGTGCTCCAGTTTTCACTGTCAAGACAGCTGTAAAACTTCAGCTCTGACATTGGCTCCCTCGCGTTCATTAATAAGGGGAAGGGGGTGTAGAGTTCAGTTTGGGACTGAAGATTGAAGATGTACTTGAAGAAGAACAACTGGGATGGGGATGGGGTGGGGACAAGTATGTACATGCTTGGAATTTTAACTCATTTTTTCTTTTTTCATTTTCTGCTTTCTATAATATGTAAATTGTGCCAAAGGAATATGCTCCTCCTCCTACGTTTATTTAACTATATATTTCACTTTACATTTAATTTATTATCTTAACATGTGTTCTATTTCCTAATCAGCCGGTTGCTTTCCTGAATGTACTTAGATTCATAATGGTTTTAGGAGTAGTACTTACTTGTGAAGTGCTTGTGAAATGTTAATAAACATCTCGCAAGTCTTTCACTTGCCCAATTCTTGTAGTAGTTTGGAGGTTTTTCTCATATCATCTTATATGAATAATGTTATGAGTCATCTTCTAATTTTGGATTTAATGTAGTTTTCTTTAAAAACGAGAATATAGTAGGTGATCCATGTTTGCTTAGAGATTTGTGGCAGAGGACTGCCAGAAACGAGCAATTGTTATGCTCACAGCCCGCTCTGTAGCCTGGTTTACCTCTGGAGATGCTTTCTGAGTCCACGCTTTTTAGTGAGCTCCATTGAGCTCTTGAATTGGTGTAAACGCTCCTTGAAAACTACATTTTCTGTCTGTTGAAGTCACTTTTAAATCATGTTGTTGATGACTACATTAGTAAAGTTTAAAAAAAAAAACTTGGCACATTAAAGGTGTGTGGCTACTAAGGGACTGTATGTGCCTACCAGTCTTCAACAGGAAAAATCAGAACTGTTAAAGGGCAATTTAATTTATTCATCAATACATAGGATATCTTGCATTTTAGTTTATGTTCAATACCTCAGCCCTTGGATAAAGTAGATTCTTTAAAAGAATAGATCTGATGTTAGAAAAGTAAATGGTTTCAGAGTAATTTCTCAATTCAGAATATCCAAAATATTTTGAACATTGTTTTGGACGTAACAAAACATGTTTATGATTTCTTAAAACAAGCTACTCTATGCTCGTGTAGTACCATTCATTAAAAATTTGTTTACAAAGTTTTTTTAAAATTTGTGTACAAAAATTAAAGTTTTACAATGCTAGCAATTAAACCTATTTACAACTGATTTCATTTTTGTATTTTTTCTTAAATAGGTCCTTTCTGATGTTGCTTGAGCTTACTCTCCTGCAGTTGGTCTCATCCTGTTGGTTACATATTAAGTCCCATGACAACATAAAGTTGATGCACACGTGTTGTAGGGCTCATAGTGAATGATACTGGGGGAGAAATTGACCTGTACGTTAAACGACCTATTCCACTTCCCACTGCAACAGCACAGCTTCTACCAATCATTATTTTACACTGCAGTCGCCACTTTGACTGCAGTGCAGTAAAGAGCATAGTTGAGTTTTTGGAAAGTACAGGATCTACAGATTTGGTCAATAAAACACACACATACAGAAATACTATGATTAAGGAAGCAGGAAATTATTGGTACATAAGATGAACGTTTGTTTGAAATAGTAATTTCAAATATAATTGTTTTAATAATTTGGTTAATTTTAGATATTTTCTATACTATTAGGTTGATAATGGTTTTTGAAGTTCATTTGGTAGAGATGATTCATTTTACTGTTTTGTGGTACCAGTGAGACTCTAATGTTAAATTGATGTGTTTGGTTATATGAATGTTTGTGCCAGCATTTAAATAATGAAATTTTGGATAGTTAGTTTGTACCAGAAGTCCAGGGGCAAATGTTTATGCTGGTTTGATGCTTGATATAGTTTCAAAAGAAAGAAAGAAACAAACTAAATTTGCTGTTCTTTTTCTCATTCATGATATATATATAATATACATATATATATCAGAACCAAATTTAAAGAAACTTCTTTGTTGATTAAAGAGAAATCAGAGGTTCTCTTTTTCTGTGTTAAAAAGAAAAAGATGGCCAAGCATGTCCTGCTGTAGGATCTCCCCAGCAGTGTTGTCAGTTAATAGAGTCCTGACGTGCTGTGACTGCTAGGTTTGCACTGCAGTGACAGTAATCCACCACCATTACGGTATCACCAGGTGTTTAAACGTTAGAACATTATGTTAAAACATGATTGTCTGAATGTTTGTCTCTTGAATTAAATTTGTGTCCATAAAAGATGTGCAGCATAATTGTTCATGTATTTATTTACAGACTACAATTTCCGCCGCAGCTCAATAAATAGTCTTTCCCCTGTTAGCGCTACCCTCTCTTCTGGGACGCCCAGCGTGCTTCCTTACACTTCACGGCCTTATTCTTATCCAAGTTATCCCTTGTCACCAACAATATCACTTGCTAATGGCAGCCATGTTGGACAACGACTATATATCTCCAATCAGGCCTCATTCTTCTGAAGAAAGTCTGGATACAGTAGTATATATTTTCTTTGTATAAGGCATGAAAATTAAAGTACTGTTGTATTTTAGAATTGGGTTTGCACATTTGACTTTAAAAACAATATATTTTAACATATTAAACATCAACTATAATTCAGAATTACAAGAGTGGTAGGATTAGCAGAAACACATTTAAAAGTTAGTGGTAGCAAACTACCACTGTTCTTTGTGAACTTTGGGACTTTCTAATTCCTAGTTTGAAAAGATTCCAGTAGTTTATGTTCTTTTTGTATAACAACTTTGTAAAGCATCATTTCATAACTATTGAAGTACTTAAAGACAGTGTTTACACTAGACTAGTTTACCAAGGATCACTATCTGTAGTGGAGTTTGGAATAGTAACCAGAAGCATCTAACTATTATGTAGAAAGAAATAATGAGACAAAAAAGATTAAGATGCAAATTTTTGACAGTCATAATGAAAAATCAGTCAACCATTGTGGTCCTTGAAGTAACTAAATATTTTTGTTAATATTTGTTACACAAATAAATTATAATTTTGCTGTTAATAAATTTAATGTTTTTATAGTTATATTTCATCTATGTTTTGATATTCATTGTTTTGGCAAGAAGTGTTAATGTTTTTAAATGTTGAAAATCATGTGTTAATTTTTATACTTCAGATTCTTCAATATTAAATATATGTTGCTACTAATGTGTGTTTTGTTTTTTATTAAAATTTACACACTCAAATGTCTCTCATCTTTGAGAAGAGTTTTACTTGCCAGGTCAACAGTTGCAGGTTCAATGTCTTCATGAGATCAAAGGGTCAGATATTATAAAGAGATTTGTACAATAAAAGTAGAATCATTTTCAAGTGCCAATAGAAATGTTTTGTTGGTAGAATTACAGAAGTTTCCCTTGTTTACTAAAGAATAATTAATGAATTCAGATAATTTTGATTTCATCATTTATTAGCATGCATGGTTAATTATGATGGTTTTGATAGTTGATACCAGATATTCTAGATATCATTAATATCTAAATATTGAATACTAAAAATAACAAGTGGTAGAGCCAGGATTTACGTACATAGAATTAGAAATAGTTGCAAATAACTTCCCTTACAGCTTAATTTGATTTTTGTAGCAGGAAGTTATAAGAAGAGTAAATGAGTCTCAGTTTTGCAGTGCGAGAGCAAGGTTATCTCCCATAAAGCATGTCTGCTGCCTTTGCAGTCCCGTGCGTTAGATGTTCTGGTTTTAAGAGCGTAGAGACACTGAATGAGCACTGCATACATTTCACAACCCCGCTGTCACATACATGACAGGCGCTCGGGTAAAATCATTCAGAAAACAGGCATTGGATGCTGACTGCTTTGTGAGTACCCACGGGACACAGGTGACTCGGATTCTCAGCTAGAAAAACAGACACATTTAGTTTTTTATAAAAAACACTTGTAATAGCCCAAATTATAAGTTATCACAGATTTTGTCATGGACTTTTCACTTTGGGGAACCAAAAAAAAAACACCTCAATTTAGAGAGCTTTAATCCCATAAGATTTGAAAATCCATGGTGATGTAATGGTAAATGCATAAATTTTGGTGTCAAATTGGACTTCTGCCAAAAACCTGTTCTTTAAACTTGAACAGGTTTTAATCTATTTGAGTCTAGTTGAAGGCACCTGTTGAGGGTGCTATGGTCCTTATAATATTGAAGCTAGAACACTGGTAAGTGTAAGAAGCCACATAGTAGCTGATATTTTGGGGGGTATCTTTGCACTGATGTGGGATTTGGTTTTTTTGCACAACTTTCCTCACTTCCTCCTCCAATCACATGAGTGTAGCATGGCTGGGTGGTGGGTGGAGCAAAGCTGCTCATCTCCCGCTGGAGTTAGGGAGGGGATGAGGATGATAATGACTCGGTACCCAATGTAGGAAAGTACTGTGGAGAACACTGCTGACAGTTGTATCGGTTTAGTAAAATACTGATTGGCCGTAGTCAATAGCAGCCAGTAGCAGGAAGTATAGGCGAGGCGACTAGAACAGGAGAATTCTGGGAAGAGGAAAGGTTCAATCTACAGTCATAACCCAGACAGAAGAAGCAAGATGAGAATGCCTCACTGATAAAAGGTACCAAGCCACATGGCTAACACAGACAAAAATTATGGGTTACTTTAAGATAGAAGAGTTAGTTTATAAGTCTGAGCTAATGGGTCAACCAGTTTACAATTAATGTAAGCCTCTGTGTGTTTCTTTGGGACTGAACAGCTGCGGGACTGGGCAGGACAGGGTAAATTGCTGCAGGAAGATCTGATGATGGCTTAGGAGTTTCTGGGAATTTCAGAGGTCCCAACTTTGTCTCACCCAGTTAAGCCCCTGCTCATTTAAAATGATCCATTCTGCCCATTCCTGTTCAAGAAAGGAAAGGAACCCAGCCCCATCCCACACCTTCTTAAAAGCTTTATATAAATCCATACAGGGCCAGAAGGTGCTGCTTTTCTGGACACCTCCTGCCCTGTCGCTCTGGCTATGTGTGCTCTTTGCTTATGTGCTATTTTTGCTGCAACAGACCTCTTATGTAGTGGAATGCACACTTCTTGTTCTGCAGTTCCTTTCTTGAAGGAGAAATAGTGTCTTAGTGATGGATTCTATTGTTGTATAAACCACCATGGCTGAATACAACGGACAGGAAGAGTTTACACTTCTACATGATACTCCATCACCAAAGTAAAGGCTGGAAAGCAGGGATTGAAGAAAAGGCCTTGGGCGGAATGCTGCTTACCGGCTTGGTCAGATTACTCGGCATGTTTTTTTATACAAGTCAGGACAGCCTGACCAGGGCTGATGCCAACAATCCTCTGTTTCTGCCTATGCCATGGGCTGGGCCCACCATATCCATCATTAATCAAGAAAATACCCTGTAGGCTTCCCCACAGGCCAATCTGGGGGAGGGAGGGCACTTTCCCACCCAAGGCTCCTTCTTCCCAAATGAAGTTGTTAAATGTCAAGTTGTTAAAAAAAAAAAAAAAACAACAACAACAACAAAAACTTGTCAGGACCAGACCAATGGGCAGCGAGCACAGTCAACACATCCATGATTTAAAAAGAATGGAATCTTCACAGATAGGGCATCTGAGTGGATGCCCCCATCTCCAAAGCTTTTCCTCTGCTAATAGCTTACACTCTCCCATATTAGAGTCCTGCAGAGTCAGTTCCTGGGCAACAAGACAGCATGACCCTCCTACCACCCGGCCGTCATATATTCGCCTCCGAGTCTTAGGTTCTAGACTTAATGCTTGAGTTTCAGCACAACCACATGGGCCTGATAACCGCAAAATTTAATGTGTTCTTGTAAGGAGCCAGAGAGGATGGTGTGTGACTGGGTTCTAAAGGGTGTTGATGAAGGGGGCTAGTCTAGCAGGCTGATCTATGATACCATGGTAAGGATACCAGAGGACGGTGTGATTTTGATATGAAGGTGGCCCCTAGTTGCCAGTGCAAAGCAGAAATGTGCAAAAGGGGTGGTGGGAGTGTGTGGGTGGGTGTGCGGGATGGGACAGTGCTACAGTCATTGCCGCAGTCTTCCCAGTGACCTACCTGCCTTTAAGCCTCTGTTTCCCAGACAGGGAAGCTTGTAAGAATATTAGGAAACCCTCTCCCACCTGTCCCCGGATATGCAAAGGCCCAGCATTTTTCAAGCTTTCCATATGTTTCTTCAAGACTAACTTCCAGTGGGTGTACGCAGATATCCTGGTGGATCTGATCTCGATAGCTGTGCTCTACTTTCTGTTGCTGTGACAGAAGCTGCCAAAGGCGACTCTGAGGACAGGATGTGAAGTCCTGTGGCCCCGACCACGAGAGGCGGTCTCCAGCTCTTTTAGGTTCAGCTCAGATACCAACTTCTCTGAAGTCCTTTGTGGTTGCAAGTTGGAAAGGATTTCTCAGATCACTTGTATGTTTTCCTGTTTTCTAATCCTGAGTGAGGAATCAGCTATGAACATGCAATCCCATCTTCTCTCTGCATGGCAGAAATCATCTTACCACAACACACCCAGTTCTGATGTTTTATTTTTTTAATTTTTACTTTTTTTTTTTTTTTTCTGAGACAGGATTTCTCTATAGCTTTGGAGCCTGTCCTGGCACTAGCTCTTGTAGACCAGGCTGTGTTGTTTTAAAAGGATTTCACTATGTAGCCCTAGCTTTCCTGGAACTCACTGAGTAGATCAGGCTAGCCACTAACTAGGCCATCTGCCTCCTGTGTCCTGGGACAAAAGGTGTGTACCACTATACCTGGCTCTCTTGCCAAATGTTTACCTTCTATCACTGGGTACAAACCATAATGCCTAGAAAGTGTTTAAGAACAATTTATTAGT